GGGGGGGTAAAACCCTCCTCCAAGGCCAAAAAACGGGTTTCAAAGATTCAAAGATTCATGGTATATTTTCAAATGCGATTTTTGGGCTTGGGAGTGGGTTTACCCCCGTACAGCGATAATTTGCGACTATGAAATCGGTTAACTTTTCAATTCTATGGGCGCTGCCTTATTGAAAATTTACGTGCGATATGGTGCACGCACTCAATAGTTCCACTTATTTTAATAAGGAATCTCTATAGGTGGCGCTGCCACATCGTCATTGACATCGAGTCAAATATTGTCAAATATAATAACATTGTTTATATAGGCTTTTATCGCAGTACGTTTACCCCCCCAAATGGGGGGGTATTGTCAGAGTACTTTGACGAGATCTATCGATTGGACCCACCCATATTGCCCCCTGACCCTCCCCAGACCATTTTTTGGAGTAATGTATATGTAAGGGAAGCATCATCGATAATAACCCTGTGGGGAGTCAGGAAATGGGTCAGTCGACATCGGGGGAAGCTCCAATCGATAGATCTCGTCAAAATACATTGAGATACAAACTGGTCCGGGAGGGTTTAGCCACTCCCTAGCCCGCAAATCGGGTTTATTTTTTTCCCCGGGGGAAATTTCTTTTAAAAAATACCATCATAGCACGATTGAAGCATTAATCGTATAGTCGACTGGTATAAGATCAATCTTTGACTGCGAATTTCCATAAATTGTACGGAATAAACCTGGAAAAAATCGAAACGAAAAATGAAATTTGACTCATCAAGAAGTTTAAGCAATATGTAATGCGATTGCGTTAGATGAACACACTACCTTTGTAGTAGCCAGCAAAGAAACCGAGATGACCGCTACTCGCGTTGCCGACCCAACCTTGCACGGGATGCTTATACGTTCCGTAAACTATTTGAAAAAAAAAAATACAATCAAACAAAAACTAAAAGTTAATTCAATCTAGCATAACGAATGCATCTGACGCAAATTATTCACACACCAATCGAAGGTCGCACAATTGCTGCTGGAAAACCGGCAAGCTCTTTCATTATTAAATTTTCGGCCAATTGTTTTGTAAATGTGTAAGTGTTTGGATGCTCTTTCGTTATATGTAGCCAGTCAGCGCGTGTTTTGAAATTGGCCCAAGCATCGTCATTTTCAGCCATCTTTAGCATTTCATATGGATCCTGAGCCGGTGCGTATACTTTTTCCTCCAACAAACCAGCATAATTACTGTTGCAAAAAGCCGTCGATAAATGCACAAACGCATCCATCTTTTTTAAACTTTTGCCAAATTCAATGCACCGCAGTGTGCCCGTCAAATTCGTTTGGATTGCAACACGTAAATGTGTATTGAATTTAATTGTGGCAGCCACATGGAAAATTATGTTAACTTTTTCACGTAGCTCATTCAATGTTTCGTCATCGAAACCCATATTCACAGCATCCATCACACCAACAACGGGTACCACCTTTTTCAATGTTTCCGCCGAATGTGAATTGAAAATCTGCAAACAAATACGAGTATCCGTTAACAAAAAGTATTCATTTATGTCAAACCATATCGGCGTAGATGTATATAACTAAGGAAGAAATCAATTATTTATACCAATTTTTCATTACTCCACATATTTGACGGTGATATTCACTGAGAAATGAACAATGTACATTCTTGATTAAATTTTTTTCAAATGAAAATCATCATTGTTCGTTCCAAATTTGTGTGAACACTCAAATATTGAAGGAATTATTTGGTGTTAAGGTGACTTTGTGGAAAAATGCATGCGGATACAACTGGTTAAAAGTTTGCTGTACATTTGGCTTAAAGTAACGTAACGAAGACAATGAATTTATTTTGATCTGCCGTTTTACACTTGTATCATTTCTAATTATGAGCAATTTTTGGTTGCTCAATCGCACCGAGCAGGAATTTTCAGTTCAGTTATAATGGTCGTGGGACTGCACTACATCTTTACTATTAAAGTCTATCTGCAGCATAATGACGTTCAAATCGTAAAATGGCTGTTGAAGGCGAATACAATGGGGAGCCTGCGTACGAAGTACGAAATGTCGTGTTCAATTAAGTAGAAAGCGCTACTGGTCAGTGCGAGTAACGAACGTATTCTTGAACAGTTTCGGAATTGTGAAATTGACAAGCTGTTTAAAATACTTTGTGTTCAACCGCATACTGGATCACGATGATGATTGGCGTGTTCTTCGATGATAATCGCCCCAAAAAAACTTGCTGAACTGGACAGATAATCAACAATTTTTTTTTGCGGTGTTACATGGTTATACGGTTACACGTGAACTGATGTGACAATAGGCGAATATAGGCGAGATCAAATTTTTCCTTATTATTGAGAAAACCGCGCGTTGAATTGGAATTGAGTTCATTCCACCAAGTTCAACATAAATTTTCACATTTCTTCCAGTTGTTCTGTATGAAAAAAAAAGATTTTCACTATAGTGTTGTCCACGAGACTTATGTATTACGCGGTGGGCATTAATAACAGCAAAATCGGCTGGAAATTTTTTCGACGCACCATCTATGCCGCCTCTGTCATTCTCACTCGTTTCGTCGAATCTGCGATGTAATGACAGAATACATTTGCCAAACAGAATGTATGCTGTCACAGTAGTTGTTTGGCGCGGAAACTTTTGCTATAGGTGGCGCGTCGAAAAATTTTCCAGCGTCTCAATGCATACATTGAATACGATGCTAATTCCCACCGGTATTACGGAAATCCACTAAACCACATGTGGTCACCATTGAAACATACACAAATAAGATCACACCTCATTAAACCCTATCCGCACAAAAGTGATGAAAAAATTGGAACTACAAAATCTGCTTTTTGATTTTTGGTCCATAATGAGATGTAACAAGAAACATTTTGATAGTTTTTAATGGACATAGTCAATAGAGAAAAGTAGAAGTAAATCTGACAAAATTTTGAAAAATACTCTTTACACAATTTTTCTACTGAATATAATGATTGAATATTGTTACAATTTTGCGTTAAAAAAAAACAACAAGATATTTTACCGGTTTCGACAGCAATCGTTCAACCGGCTTATTGGTGTCTGATCCATATTTTTCGCGGATGAGCAAATAAATTGTGCCGATTTTTGGCGTAGAGCTAAGCAATGCTTCAATCAAAACGGTGCCAAGGAACCCAGTACCGCCCGTGATGAAAATGTTCTTTCCAGCATAAAATTCCGCAATGGAATTCTCGCCTCGTTAAAAACCTGGCTCGTTTCGTACATCATACGGTATTCACAATAGTAGGAACATGAAAACGAAAACAGTCATACAACCAAGATGGAAATGCTTGATATTAGTCTATGGCAAACGGTCCAGGATAACCTTTGGTAAACGTTTCCAAATGGACAAAGGCTATGTGAAGCGTTTAATTACACGTTTAATTTGAGACCCTAGGACAGCAAAAGTCGTCGCTCAATTTATACCGGTTGATAAATTGACGAGAAGTTTTACGTCTGTAAAGGCAGATCCATGTTGATTGCAGAGTGCATTGAGTTGACTTGGACTATGATTTGAAACGTAACTAGACCATTTGATGTTAATTGATAAATAATTCAAAATTGACTTCAAAGATAAGAATATTAAGTCACCAACTCGTGGATGGCTACAATAAAGCAGAAAATCAAAATTTACAATAAATAAGTGTGAACATCACAGATAAGTATCATCATTTCAATACACATATAAGAATGTATGGAAAACAATTCGTCAGTCTTTTAGTATTGATTTTGCTGTGTGATTCATGCGAGATGAGTTGAATACCAAAAATACATTGATTCATATGGACACTGAATGTACAGAATGTGACAAGAGCGAAACTAGTGAAAATATTCATGAACTAACATGTAATCACAAAGTTTCTATCTTAATTGCATTGAAAAACACAACAACAACGCCTGAAAGTAGTCAAAATTGCAAGTTTCAATCATTTAAACATGAATAAACATGTAAAGCACGTACACATTTCTGTGACGTAAAAAGTCTCACGCTATCGGATCGTGCGTAGTTGGTTGAGACCTGGGACAGCCCCGCTCGTGTTTGATGCAATCAGCAGCAACCCAAAGAATGGCACCTGGGCAATTTGCGTTGTCCTTGATGAATTCGTCCGCTTGAGATCATGGATCGGGTTTAACCCGGGAAGTCCCAGAACTTTTTTTTTCGAATTTTTCGATGAAAATTTCAGTTATTGTAGATTTTGGGGCGTAGATTCCGAAAAAATAGGTGGTTTGAATTTTCCGGGCCGGAAAAACTTCTTATGGCGATTTTCCGGCTGTTACCATATGGTAACGCTGGGACCTCTAGGGTCCGTGTCAAGGTGAACAAAATTTTTTTTTTTCAACGGAAAATCATGAAGTATATGAACGGAAAAGCAT